TTTTAGTTTACGTTCTACTAGTAGTAGTAATAGTAGACGACGACGTACTACTACCTACCTCCCTACCTCCTCTCGTGTACGTTCTTACTATAGAGAGTGACGTAGTTACTTCTCTCTCTCTCTCTCTCTCTCTCTCTCTCTCTCTCTCTCTCTCTCTTACAGACACAAACTCCCTCCCTCCCCATTTACTTGTATCACTCTCTACATGAATGAAACCCAGGGTTTCAATTGTCCCTCAGTCGTTTTGTTAGTGGTATGAATGAAACCCTAGGTTAAACTTTGCTTCTTTGGTTTGGGCATTGAGAGAACTAACTGGAAAGAAGCTCCTACCTTTAAGTGATGAGTTTTTCTGAAAAGATCCCCATTTCTGGCAGCAAACTCCCTTTGGTTTCTTTGGTTTGGGCCTTCACAACTGCCACATTTTGGTGGGAATCTTTTCCCTGTGGTGGCGGAGAAGGGATTGAAGTGGCTGGAAACGTGGGCAGAGGGGCAGGAGACCGAGCATCATTAAAAGCGGGAGCAGAACTAGAGGGGAAGAATATCTCAAGGTCTTCAGTGGAGGAAGAGGAGGGGAGGGAGCGAAGGAGATGAGGAGGAGAAAGAAGAGAGAGATGAGAGCCGTGAGGAAGACGAGAAGTCGGGGGTAGATGAGTTGTTTCAGAAACATGGAGGTTTGGATTGATTGTCTGTTCGGTGAGCAATTCTGAGGCCTGGTTTAGACAGAGAGAGAGAGAAGGGGCCCAGTTCAGAGAAGCAAATCGGTACAAAAGGGAATAGCCGGGGGCCCTTTTGACTGAAATGTTAATATTTTTACTTGCGTGAAGGTTTCTTAAGAAAAATAAATAAATAAAATAGTTTTTGGGGTTTCTACTGATAGCACCAATTCACTAGGGAGTTTGCTGTTAAGTAACCTTATATTGGAGGAAAACTGTAATTTTACCTAAAACAACATCAGTAAGACATAAGACATATGCACTGAAGTTCACCACCAAGTTAACTTAGTTCCACCTATGGAAGGGCCAAGGCGATGCCATTGCAGAAAAAGCAATCAGAAAAAACATCATGTTTAAATTGAAGTATGACATGAATGGACGCAAACCTTCTCCTGAAGCTATCAATGAAAGAGCATGGGCAGGAGATAGAACAACCTCTTCTTTAATACCCTCCACATATGTTCCCTACATGAGAAGGAAACTTGACATCATAAAATCAACTTACAAAAGGAAAAACATTTATGGGAATAATTATAAGACATTCCATGGATTATTTAGCACAACAAAAGATATAAAAGAGGCAAAAATTAGTAAAATAGAAGTCCCAACTATCCTCAACAAAGACCAACTAGAAATGGCACAGTCATCAAGGAGAGTCAAGTTTGAGGGAAATAGATAGGCATTTTAAGCAATCATGCACATTCCACAGTGCAAACTCCATAGGAAGAGCTCTCTCTCAAGTCTCAAGTACTTTCATCAGAAACAGGAAACATTATAAGTAATTCTCTACAAACAACTCTCTTCCAGATCATGAAATAGAGTGGTCTAATCATATTTGGTGCATGCGCATGATCACTTGCATCCTCAGAAAATGCAGCATCCGATTCCAATGATTCACAAGATCTGCCTCCTTTGATATAGAAAGTAATATGATGCCCTTATAATTGAAAGCCACTTGACTACCCCAAATACTTTTATAATTGAAAGCCACTTGACTACCTCAACTAATAAGATACAAAACAAGAGATTTTATTGTTCCCATCTATGAAACATGGACACGCGTGTCCTGGGTTCTAACCATGTGTCTACACTTGGTGGACACCGACACGCATGTCAACATTATTGGTCACACGCATACAACACCTTTATTTATGTCCACTACAGTATCCAGTTTTTTAGACACGTTTCGTTTTTTGAAAGTGAAGTTTAAAAACTTTATTTTTCATTGAAGAGTATTTAATTTTAAAAGTAACAAGTATTTTTATTTATTAAATGAGGGTTTCTATAAGTTATTGTTACTATAAATATAAAATATGATTTATTTCAATTACCATGAAACTTTCTAAGGTTTCTCCCTCCCCAACTAGTTTCTCCCTCTCCAAGCCCTGTGGACCACTGATATCTAAAGGAGAAACACATGACCCCGCCCTTGATCTGGTGGAGTAATTGCGGATCACAATATCATTGCTTGCAAAGCCTGCCGATAGGTAACGTTTTCAATTAAAGTGGTTCAATAATCATATGCTAATCTATAAATTGCATGTAGGCATTTTACTTATTAAAAATAATTTTTTATGCAGATTACAACAATAAACGGTTTCCTCTTCTTGTTGTAAGAGAAAATGGAGCACATTCTCTGTTATCCATTCAATGAAGTGCAATCGTTTGCAACCACAACGCGCAGAAGACCTTGTATCTGTTCATAGCAATCGAAGATTGCTCACAAGGAGGCAATATGATTATAAATCAAGTCCATGCAAGTATTGGGATGTGGGCATCAATGAAAATAACATAGATGAACCTAAAAAAAAGTCTAACATTGAGAACATGGTGTCTAATGAATCAATCTTAAAAAGGGATGGATATATTGAGGGTGCAAGTAAGATGACCATGTGATTTTTGATGAATGCATGACGACTCTTTTCAATAGCCATACAATAAGGGTGTTACATTCTGAATTAATAATTAGCTACTACTTTATAGGTTTTTTCTATATTGTTACAATGCAACCTTGGATTGGTGTATAAGAAATTCTAATGAATAAAATTCAAATTCAAAAAGTAACCTTTCTTGGACTATTAATTTCATTATTTTTATTTTTGAGATGCTTTACTACTGTTGTATGACATGAATTGTTATATGTGCAAATGTAGATGTGAACTACACATATATTTTTATATATGCATATATAGACGTACGTATTATGCAGATACTTGTATATTGTACGGACATGTCGTTAGTTTTATTTTTTCGATGCTTTCTTATTGTTGTATGATTGTATGTGTGAATATAGATATAAACTACACATTTTTTTTTATATGCATATATCGGCATACGTATTTATGCAAATATGTGTATATTGTACAGACTATGTCGTGTCTAGATGTCATTTTTTGGGGTTCACATTTCTGACACTCATATCCATGTCATAAATAGACACACATGTCCGTGTCTATGTAACATAGATTCCCATTAAAGAAAACCTTAGGCACACGGTGATAGAGACACCACCCATTTCTTGACTTCAACTGAGAAGTCAATTGTACCAACTAAAAAGCAAGAAATACAATAACTGAGAAGTCCGGACCAACCAAACAGCATATCATCAACAAGGACTGGCAAAAGCATGGTAAACCATCATTAATTCTATACCTACTCTAGGAACACCGTGTCCTCTGACATAATGATCAAGAGAATCATGTCCCTCAACGAGAATACTAGCATGAACATCTAAACTACCTTCCTCGCAAAGTGCACAAACGCGAGCACGAGTGCATCGAAACAAGCACAGACATACACAAATAGTATATACACAAACATCTATCCATTTGTATGTGCACCAAAATCTTTGGACCAACGATGTTCTTGCCAACTTATGCAAATCAATTTTTGGCTAGAGAACTTTCATCAGTGCAAAACGGAAACATAAGAGATTCCTTTGAAATACACGCAACGCTCAATTATGACTAAGGTTGGATGTGTGTCAGCCAAACCAAAAGAATTCCACCCAAAAGGCTAGATTCGTGAAAAATAACCCTCCTCTCTCTAGAAGATGATTTGCCAATAGCAGGGGAATTTTAAATCCCAAGAGTTCTAGAGTAGTCCACAAAATTACCACTTTTGTAAGAACACGTCTAATCTATCCAGATAAGGCCTCGCATCTAAAGTCCCGTGAGTGCCTTACTACCTATATATGTTCTGTTCTTTCATTATTCTTCCCGTTCAAACCTTTTCCAAGAATTGTCTACCTCCTATTTTTTTTTAAAGTGCTGCATTTTCTAGAGCCATTCAAGGAAGACAATGGTAATCTTGCATTATTTTTAATAGAGTTTTCAGCCGCTCATCCACAAGGTCAGATGAAATATCTAGACAACCTCACCACTTTCCTTCCAATGAGAGCAAAGTATGAAATGAGTTTCTTAGAAGCATTGACTCTAAAACGTTACTTGAAACTATGAGACTCAAAATTGTGCCATTTAGTTAATTTTCAAAATTCAGCAAACTCTTTTCAGATATGTAGACAAGTTCATTATCACATTCATACTAACTATCAAAAGCACTCTCATTAACAGATTTGCCTACCAGCATCCAAGAACTCAATTGAGAGTTGCTTTCTACCAGAAACCCTAAAAATAAACTTTCCTTTCAATATGTAGTCATCCAAGATGCAAATTTTTAAGACATTAAAAAAAATATATATATATATATATATATATATATATATATATATATTAATTTAATATAATTAATTATATAATAATTAAATTTAAGTACTAATTAAGTTAGGTAGTTATAAGTAAAAATTACTATTTATAGACGTAT